TGAAGAAATTCAAGCAAGCGCGGGTAAACGGCGGGAGTAACTATGACTCTCTTAACTATGACTCTCCGAGGTGGATCCTTGGCGCCGTGGTGCGCGCGTTAAACGATAATACCGATCGCTGAGGTCCTGATAGCCTCTTAACGGGGCGCAGCGGGGTCGCCTGCTCGCGTCCCGGCCCTAACGGGAGGAGATAGTGTGTGCTCCTCTCTCAACGGAGCAAAGTGTGGTGGTTGGGAAACCGCCAGCCATTTTTCAGCCACTTCAATACACGATCTCTGTTGAGTTAGTAAATGGGGTTTGTGTGCCTGGGTGACCCTTTCCAGACACGCAGACTCAACTCCTACCCGAGGCCTGCACGTGGCACCGCCGCTTATAACTGACACGGGAGGGGGGGACGTGCCTAAATTAGTATGCCCCGGAGATGGCTGTTGCGGGGTGACCGCCTCGTTGGCACATTCCTAATTCTGCGAGGCCCAGCGCGTTTCCACTATAGTCTCCCGTTCGGCTGTCTCTTCGCGGCTTTCAGTCGTGTTGTTGGCAGTCGGACGGGAGACTTTAGTCAGGCTTGTGAACCGGGTTTGCTAGATTCGTCTAGTATGCGCAGCGTCCTAGATCATGGGGCGTAATCCGGGCTAGGTTCGGGTGAGATTCCTGAATAGTCCCATCGGGTGGCAATATGTCGCCAAGTCGAACCGCTGACTTCGGTCGGGACAATACGAGATGCGGTAGGCGAACCAGGTGGCTGGGCTTGCACCCCGGCCACATTGGGCACAAACACAAGCAATGGACAAAGTAAGGAATGAAAATGATTTATTTTGCCACCCTGGCCTCCCACAGGAGCCGGGGAGCTTGGCCCAATCTTCGGCCGCTCAAGCTGGGGCTCCGGCCACAGTTTCCGCGGTCATTGACTGGACTTGTCCGGTGTGTGGACGTGCGTTCACCACCAAAACGGGGTTGGGGGTCCACAAGCGTAGGGCCCACCCCGAAGTAGCAAATGCGGAGGCCGCTCCAAATATGGTGAAGCGCAGGTGGCGCGATGAGGAGCTGGCATTGATGGCGCGTACAGAGGCGCGATTACTGGAGGAGACCGGACGATGTACGAACGCAGACCTGTACAAAAGCCTGTCGGGGTCCGAGCGGACCCTAGAGGCAATCAAAGGAAAGAGGCGCTGTGGGGAGTATAAGATCCTGGTACAAGCGTGCCGGGAAGAGTACAGATCCCCACCAATAAGCAGCCAAGCGCCAGAGAACAGGGGTTCGACACGGCCGGAATCTGAAAGTGTCGAGATGCCGGTCCAGCCTCTGCCAGCTGAAGACGCACCGCCTGTCGCCGATGATCCATCACCGCACTTAGGTGGTGCCCCAGATAACACGTGTGCAGACCAAATTGTCGCGGATCTTCTAGCGAGGGCCGCGGTGAGGAGGTCGCGACACGGCCTGGGTTCCCGTAGTGCGAGGCGGCACCGCATACCGAACGTGACTCGGGCCGACACCGCACTGGCCGGTTTGTCGAGCCGCAAGAGGAGGAGAATAGAGTACGCCAGGGTACAGGAACTATTCCAGAAGTGTCGCAGTCGAGCAGCAGCCGAGGTGATCGATGGAGTGCACAGGAGCGTCCGGCACTCTCTCGAAGATTTGGAAGCCTATTGGCGACCGGTCCTAGAGAGGGTGTCTGATGCCTCAGGGCCTACACCGTCTGCTCTAAACGCCTTACGGCGGGAGGAGCAGTATGGGGGCGCACGCGATTACTCTCGGCTGTGGATGCCTTTCACGACCGACGAAGTGAAGGCGTCCAAGTTTGACTGGCAGACAGCGCCTGGTCCGGACGGTATCCGTCCGGATGAGTGGCGCCTAGTTCCTGCGGCCCGAAAAGCGGAAATTTTCAACTCTTGGTTGACCACTGGCGTAATACCAGAGCCCCTGCGGCTATGCCGGACAGTCTTCGTGCCGAAGATGGATGATCCTGCTGGGCCGGGCGACTATCGACCGATCTCGATCGCCTCGATACCGCTTAGGCACATGCACTCGATCCTGGCGAGAAGGCTTCTGGATTGCTGCCCCCCCGATGCACGACAGCGTGGATTCGTCCGCGCCGACGGCACGTTGGAGAATTCCGCCGTGCTGGACGCGGTGCTAGGGGATAGCAGGAAAAAGTTAAGAGAGTGTCATGTGGCTATTCTCGATTTCGCGAAGGCGTTCGACACAGTGTCTCATAGAGCGCTGGTCGGGCTTCTTCGGGCTCGAGGGTTGCCCGTGGCATTCTGTGATTACATCCACCGGCTGTACGACGCGGCGACCACCAAGTTGGACGTCGGCGGGCAGTCGGGTGAACCTGTTAGATTGGGCCGAGGTGTGCGTCAGGGAGACCCGTTGTCGCCCATCCTGTTCAACATGGCGATGGACGTAATTCTTGCTGCTCTACCGAAAGAGGTAGGCTATAGGCTAGAGATGGAGCGAGTCTCGGCTCTAGCCTATGCCGATGACCTAGTCCTGCTTGCAG